AATATTAACTCAGCTGTAATTTAGCATCTCCAAAGTAAAGGAGCGCGAATCAAACGTAATATACCAATCCAATATAGTGGAAAATTTCATCTGGGCCAGGGGCCCCGTGGTTTTTCCTTTTCGGGTTTCCACGTAAAAAAATTTCTTGGTGTTTCTCTCCCTTAATGTATCTGTGGTGTGCTGGATATACGTATATGGTTAAGCACGTATATATTTTTACTCTGCGACCGCGTTATATTCAGTCCGCACACTTTTGATTGATAGTAATAGCTCCAAATGATGCAGAGATCTTAACTAAATCGCTTCTTTAGCATATTTTAATTAGTTTGTTATGTGATTCTTCAAGTATCTTCTAGAGTATTCCTATTTAGCTATATATAAGCAAGTTTTGTATAGGAAAAAGGTAATGAATGATTATTACAGCTATTTGAAGCTTTTGAGCTGTGCCTTTCTTCTCTTCCTTGATGGAAACCAAAATCCTTCTTGCAGGTCGAGTCTTCCGCGCCACTACATCAGTTGGGTTCAGAGCCTGGAGCTTTGTGAAGATCGATGGGACTGCGGAAAGAGGTCGGTGTCGACGACGACGAAAGCCGCAAAACAAGATTGGCGGTCGACGACAGGCTCGACTGTCAAGATAAGGTGGGCTGTCGACGATGCTCGAAGCCGGATCGCCTTCTACCAAGCTCAATCGAAGGAATCGCTCGATCGGGTAGACAGAAACCTTGATCTGATTCGCGAAAACCTTCGGGCAATAAGGAAGATGAGGATGTCGTCGGCAACCATACCGAGGTACTCTTCTTCTTCTTCGATCTCATCATCCGCTTCACGCAGACGCCGTCAGCCACGCCACGATTACCCTCTGCTCGAGCTCCCTCTCCGATGGCGTGACCCGCCACCAAAATACCCGCCGCTCGATCGTCCGATGCGATGGCGCGATTCCCCTCTGTTCCAACATATTCCGCCTCCCAAACCCTCCCGTCCACTCGAGATGGACGCTGATCACGACCAGACCAGATCTGCAATACGCGAGATGCAACAGATCGCTGTTCGCGCATTTCGCAACCAGCCCGAGGGCGTCTTCAGCAATTCCGCCGGCGTGCCCTCACGAATGGCCCCATTTCCGCGTACAAAGACAACTCCAAAGAGAGACCCACCAGCGCCTTCACTGTCAGTGCCTGTGATCAGCCTCACACGAACATTCAGTGCAAGTTCACATGAACTTCCCAACTCTGCTTCCATCTCTCACGATCATTCTCGACCCTCTGCTCTCTGTGGGATTTCAACGCTTTCGCTTCAGCCATCGACACTCTTCAAGACCACAGTTCACCGCCAGTCTATTCTGATGATCCCAAACCCACCCCCGCGTCCCTCCGGACTGCATTGCCGCTTCCACATCCGCAACACACAACCAGCGATTCCAAGCCAGGCCTCGAGCGCGATTCCACCCTGGAGATTACCGAGCAATCCCGCCCCAAAGGCTCTTCCGAACCTCCATCTACTTTTATTATCACTTTCGATGATTCCAATCACCGCTCATATCGCAACCCGAGACCCGCTCCCGCCTCTCGAGAGCATTCCTTCCTCGGCCAGATCCGCTCCAGCTCCAAAAGGCCTGATGTAGAAGGCGTCATGAACCCTCTCAGCAACATCAAATTCCTCCAAATGGCCCAACGACCTCCGTTGCCACACGACCGATCCGCCCTAGCAGATCCGTCGCTCCCTGCCGATCCTCACAAAATCAATCTCTATATCAACCCCCACCTCTCCTTAACTGAAGATTCCTCTATTCTCCCTGGCATCCAAATCCCTCAAAATCTCAGCATGGTTGTGTTACCCGCAACCCATGATAGCGATTCTTCTCGAAGGGAGAGTCTCAGTGCTTCGATACAGCCGCAGATAATGCTGAATCCGATACTCAAGCAGCTGCCTGAGCATTTCTATGCCAAGGCAGCATATATCGGGCTTCATCTTCTTTATCTTGATGGCAATCAATTTATGGGTGAGCTACCCAGGAGCTTGGGGAAGCTTGAGAATGTGACTGCAATGATACTTTCTAAGAATCATTTCAGCGGCAGTGTACCTGAAGAGATTGGGGGTTGCTGTGCTCTGGAATCTCTCGATTTTTTGGGGAACAACTTCTCCGGAACGATTCCATTACTGATAGGGAAGTTGAGCAGCTTGATTTCTCTTTGTTTATCAGATAATCAGCTCGTGGGTCCTCTGCATGCGGAAATTGGCATCTGCAATTCTCTAGTGGAGCTCGAGCTCCATGACAATCTCATTGGAGGTCGAGCTCCACTAGAGAATTGCAGATGCCAATTTCCGCATGCAGAGGACCCACGAGCTGATTATCTGATAAACAAAGAGAAATCAAGCTGCTCAACTTCCGACGATCCACTACATCACAACGCATACACAAATACTCGAATCCTAAACTTTAGTTGAAAGCCTAAGACACAACTCACCTTGGCCTGTTGGTTAAGAGCTTATGCTTCCAACTAAAAGATCTTAGGTTCGAGTCTTTGTGAATAAATTTGCTTTAAATGACCTAAATGTCCCACAAAAAAGTTGAAAGCCTAAGCTTTAAACTAATAGGTTAGTTTCTTTTATGATTATAGTCACTTGCACGGTAGTCCGGTGGCCGTGATAAGCCGTTAAATCTAACGGCCCACACGTGTGGGCGTGTGGTTGTACAAACAAGGGAGAAGGAATGCAACATCCGCGCCAGCTCGTATTTTCCCACCTGGACGGGTTCCCGTCCGCCTTCATCCCTTCCTCATCAGCTCTCGCCTCCTTTTTTTAGCCCCATCGAAGAGAGAAAAACGAAAGGAGGGATCTCTCTCTTTCTCTCAAACTCTTCCAACTCTCTTACTTTTCTTATCCTCCCTCTTCTGTCAGCGATATCGTTACACGGACAAATGGAAAGAGTGATTCGATCGAATAGAAGAAGCTCAGTAGGAGATAAGAAGGAACTCTTCCATGTAATCCACAAAGTTCCCGCCGGAGATACCCCTTACGTTAGGGCAAAGCATCTCCAGGTATATATAATGAATCTCATTCTTCCCTGTTTCCGTCGTAGAGTTTGAATATCTTTTTTTCTTTCTATTTGCCGATTTGATTTTGATCATCTCCTGCTTTCATTTGCGGACATTTGTGGATATTTGTTCATGATGTTGTTGATTTCAGTTATTGAAGTTTGTCATTTAGCTAAAAAAAGAACTAAATCCTTTCAAATACACTACCATGCGAAATTCTATTTCTGCACCTACTTTGAAATTGGAATGGGATTTAAGAAATCCTACTTGGAGTTGAAGTTAAGGAGACTTAGCTCACGACAAACACTGAAACCCTAACCGTCAACCTTAGAAACGTGTCGTGAGGCGTTGAGAAGTTCAATAATTCTGAGAATGAAGGTAGGGCTTTTAGGGCTTTAGAGAGTTCGGCAGAGGTGTTGCAAGTGAAATAAATCCCAGAGTGGTCCTGAAAAGGAGCGAGCAGTTGGGGAAATAAACAAATCCTCCGATGGCCACCGAATGATCTGTTCTACTCACTTTTGTTGATTGAATTTTAATCCTGAAATAAACGAATAATTAATTTATTGCGTTTAGTTGAATTTAACGGTTGTTATGCCATAAAAGTTTTAGAATTTAATAAGAGACTGTTTTGTTTAGAGTAATGAAGGGTTCTGAAAATATTAGTTTTGGTTTGAGGTAAAAAGAGCGACGAGTAAAATTTTTGAAGTTTTTGAAATTCACCTCTAATTCCATTCTGACTTATTTGAAAATCATTAGATTTGATTGAATTTCAAATGCACTATAAAGCATTTGTCCCGCTGGCCACCACCGACTGCCAGCGATGGTACCGCCTTCCTACACCACCCGCCTACGTCGATTGCTGCTCGCTACCACCGCCACCACCCATTACCCCTATTGGCAACTCGCCTCCATAGCTACTCACAGCCACAACCATCGTTGTCTGTTGGCTGACAACCACCACCATCTGCCACCTAGGAGTGTCAATTTCGGGTCACGGGTCGGATTCGGGTTGAACCCGAAACTGACCCGACACTATTCAGGTTCAGGTCAATCCGACCCTTTTTTACAAACAGGTCAATTTTCCAGACCCGAAATAGGTCAATCTCGGGTTGCCGGGTCAAAAAGGATTTCCAGATCAAAATGGGTCAATTTCGGGTCAATGAGTCAACCCGAACCAGACCCAATTTTGAACGGGTCGAATTGTTGAACCCAAACCCGAAATTTTCGGGTCGGGTTGGGGTCGGGTTTTCGAGTCGGGTCCAATATTGACAGCTCTATGGCCACCTAGTACCACCATATTGGACTTTAACTTGTTTTCCTATTATTTCAAGCCAAATAAAAAAAATAATTATCAACATTTTTTAAAGTCATCCAAGTAATTATAAAATATCAAAAATATATTTTTCTTTAATTAGATTTCTTGTACTACGCATTTTCAGCAAACCAAAAAACCCCTAAATTTGAAATGAAGATAAATAATTAATAATTAATTTTTTTTATTGAAACAAGTAATCAAAATAATATATTTATCCTTTTTTTTAACGAAGTCATACATGTAGCCAATAACCTCTACATGAGGAGATAATAAATAAATAATAAATATAAAATTATAAATTAAGAAAATTTTAATAATTAAATTTATCTTTTTTTATTAAATCCCACTAAATTAAATCTTACTTTATCTACATAGCCACTAAATGTGGAGTATTGGTGTTAAATGTGTAAACGAAGGTTGGAGTGTAATGTATGTAAATCCCCTTTAATCAAAATAATAAATAGATTTGTGGACATTAAAGGAAAAAAAAAAAAAAAAAACAACTTAAACATTTTACAGATCGCTCTCTGTTATTCGGCAAATTATTGCATCTGTCACCGAACGGGGAGATAGGTCCGGATATTAATAAAATATTATTTTAAATTAAGCGTGTCAAAAGCGCAGTCAAAGCGCAACTAAAGCGCAAATTTTTATTGAATGTCCGAACCTATTTTCCGCGTCCGGGGACCGGATGCAATAATTTGCCCTGTTATTCAGACCTATTTATTTGAACCTATGTGATATAAAATTTTGTATGAATTCATCTCTGAAATTTCGTAAAAAAATATATTTTTTTGGGCCAGCACTGGTTAATGGTGTTCCATGGATTATGAAACAGCTAGTGGAGAAGGATCATGATTCTGCAATAGTTTGGTTTTGGAAAGCAATCAATTGCGGCGACAGGATGGACAGCGCGCTCAAGGACATGGCGGTGATCATGAAGCAGCAAGGCCGCGCCGAGGAGGCCATTGAGGCCATCAGATCCTTCAGGCACCTCTGCTCCAAGCAAGCCCAGGAGTCCCTTGACAATCTGCTCATAGATCTCTACAAGGTAACATTTACCATCCATTTTCATGGCTCCTTCAAAGTGTGCTAATGACTGAATTAGCTGAACTCCATTACTATTAATTAGAAATGCGGAATGTTCGAGGATCAGATTGAACTCCTGAAGCAGAAGCTCAGGATGATATACCTAGGGGAAGCCTTCAATGGAAAAACTACAAAGACCGCTCGCTCCCATGGCAAGAAGTTCCAGGTCTCTATCAAGCAAGAAACTGCCCGTGTCCTGGTACTACTGCTAGTGTCTGCTACTTTGTATGTAATCCAAGAGTGTCAATATTGGACCCGACCCGAATCCGACCCGAAAATTTCGGGTTTGGGTTCAACAATTCGACCCGTTCAAAATTGGGTCTGGTTCGGGTTGACTCATTGACCCGAAATTGACCCATTTTGATCTGGAAATCCTTTTTGACCCGGCAACCCGAGATTGACCTATTTTGACCCGCAAAGCGGAGATTGACCTGTTTTTGGACTCGAAAACTAGCTGTTTTTTGTTGGCACCGTGTCATTCAGGTCGGGTTTGGGTTCGAAAAATTGACCCGTTTGCAAAAAAAGAGGTCAGGTTTGGGTTGACCTAAATATTGTCGGGTCAGTTTCGGGTTTGACCCGTGAACCGAAATTGACACCCCTAATGTAATCCATTCCTAATAACTTTTCAGAAGTTTGATATTTAAACTTATGCATAACTGTGTGGCAGGCAAATTTGGGATGGGCATACATGCAACAAAACTGCTTTGCAGCAGCAGAATTGGTATACAGGAAGGCTCAAACAATCCAGCCTGATGCCAACAAAGCCTGCAACCTTGGTGTTTGCCTGATCAGGCAGGGAAATTTGCATGATGCTCGAACCATTCTATCGGACGTCGTTAACCATAGATTTTTAGACGGCGAAGAGAGCAAGGCGGTGAGCCGGGCTATAGAGTTGCTGCGCGAGATTGAGTCGCAGCCATCGATATCGCCTATGGATATTGGTTTGAACATAGAGGAAGCCATCAATGACTGGTCTCCTTTGAGATCCAAAAGGTTGCCTATCTTTGAGGAGATATCTACATACAGAGATCAGATAGCTTGCTAGGACCAGTCATCTCTTTGACTGGCCTTTGTAAATTTCTTAACATCGTATAAAATGCATATATTTTTGTGGGGTTTGGTTAGGTCATTGTAGGACTCTTAGTACTTAGTAGTTTCTCTATGCCTTTCCTGGACTACTGATGCATAAAAAATAAGAATAAGGTGGCTAGAAGGGAGAGAGGGTTTAGAATTAGGGATGATATCTATGTGATTTGGAATCATGAGAAAATGAAAGCCATCAAATCCTAAGTTGTGGGGGGTTCATATAATTGTAAGTTTTGTTCTTATTGTAACTTAAGAAATCTCAGGCTCTTACCGTCTCTGCTACCATCATTCTAATTTAGGTTTTCATTGGGATGATTTTCTTACAGCTTTTTTAAACAGTTTTTTAGTATAAAAATTTTATTTTTTGTATTAGAAAATTGTTTTAAGAAGTACTAAAAATAGTCCTAAATAAAACCATCGATGGCTAAGATGTCAAACATCACTCTTTACTATACTTGTATAACACCCACAAGAAACATAGAAGAGTTCGAGTGGCATTAGCCGATCTAACTTAGCAATTCTCCTTGTACGAGGGGACATCAAATAACCGGGGATTCTTGTATTGTAAGTTAACAATTAGCATACGTTAGACGCCACTCTTTGACATGCGACTAGTGGCAGGCGACAAGGAATGTCAAAAGATTCGACTCAATCGATCTACTTATAGGAGCGAAGATTGGATGATTGAGAATGCTTGCAATTTTAGTAGAAACATACATTGAACATAAGTGGCAATAGGCGTTGGACATCACTCTTTGGTATGCATTAGGTCATGGTCTTAAAAAAATGTTAAAGTTTAAGAAATATGGAGAAGCTTGACTAAGTTAGAGAATTAGTAAGGCTTATGTTAACTAAAAATTAGACAATTTGTAAGCCTAACTCTGCCATGCATCAACATTAATCAATAGTAAGCGTCTGGCTGTAGTAGCAATAGTTGCTGACATTGTTCGACAACTGGCATCAAGTGGTTATCACCAGTGAAAGCTGCATTTGAATGTGAAGAAATGTGGCATATTTATAATTGAAATTGATCCTCCCACTTATTTAGTATTTTATGGACATTTTAGTGCTTAATGATCTCAAAATTAAGCAATCTTGAACTTATCAGATACTACATCTCATCAAGATACTCATTTTGACTTTAAACGAATAAAATTGGAAGGACATTTAACCCTTAAAATAATCTCAAGAAATTTTCAATAATGCTTATTCAGTTCCATTTGGACTCAAATCCAAATGTTTTTGGTACCATTGGGTTCATTTCATCGAATCATACTGTTGCAATTACAAGTTTGCTAAATATAAAATTAATTTTTTGAAGGCATATCAACACCTCTTATATTTGTATGCATATGTGAGAGTGTACATGTCATGATATAAAATTAGGCATGCTTACACAAAACATGATAAAAAATAAGGTTAACTTTAATTAGGATCAAACTCGACACTCGACACAAACAAGTCGATCCTACACAAGATCAGGCAAAAGAGAAAAGAGCATATTTGGTTTAATTTCAGTTGGGGTCAAATTGGCTCAAAATTAGACCTTTTGCAAACCTATTTTTGGGCTAGGGTTTTGAGAATTGTCTGAGCATTCCAAATATGATGAAACCTTGAGAAACTTTTGAGCAAACAAGATTCAAAATGTTCAAATATCACACAATAGCATGAATACACACAAAGTGTGATATTTTCCTTTTTGAGGCGACAAAAGCTATACTAATTGAGAAGTGGAGCAATATCACAACAACAACATCAAGCCTTTATCCCACTTCATAGGGTCAGCTACATGAATCATTGCACAAAACACTGTCGTTGTCAAGTCCCAAGCCCTGAATAAGAAAAATGAAAGGATACGTTAAGTAGTTGACAGGCAATGTAAAACTTGTCGAACAACATGAGCCCCTTAATACAAGTGAAGCAAAACTCTATAACAAAGTTTAGCCAAGCAATGGGCATAAAAAAATAATAATAATAATAACTCAATCCAAAGATGATGCGTAATCAATGAATACATTGCTTCAGTGCTTCACTATTGCTGAATAATCTTTCATCAAACTAGCTCAAACTTCACAACCTTCCTAAAATCAGAAACATATTCTCTTGTTCTGACACAAAATTCAATACTTTTTTCTATATAAAGCAACAGAATGAAACGGCATTATCAGCCATATTACGACAACAGTTGGCCAAGAAAAAAAACAATTACAAGAACCGACAGATCCTAATGTTTTGTGAAAGAAGAAACAAAATGCTGTATCCCGACTATGCACGCAGAGGAATCCCCAAATACAAACGCAGAGAAAAAAACACACTGAAGAAATGTCGCTAATTGACAAATCACTGATATGAGTTGAGGATTATGAAGAACCTGAAACAATCGACAATGATGGAGACTGTCATTTGCACTTAAAGCCATGGCACACAGATAAGACAATGATCATAATGAGGACAATGATGATCGTCGCGATGAGGAGCTTTATCTTCATGTTCTGCCACCACAACTTCCTCCTCAACTGGGAACCTCCCTGCCTGAAATCATGAGCCTGCATGCCCAAAACGCAAAAATTTCGATCATGTTTGTAACGAAAAAAGATCGAGGGAAACATCAACATTAAAGTTGCAAGTTTTAGATTGTTAATTGATTTATGGGTAGATTTAGGGTGTTGAAGGCACATGCCCCCACTGGCTTGGATCTCTACCCAAGTGAGTTGTTTGATTTGGTGGCTCAGTCTGCATCTATCTTGCACCGATATGGATATAGCGACACGGATATGACACAATATGGATACAGGACACGTCAATTCTTAAAAATACAGGATAAGGGTACGGCGTGGACACGATATTATAATTTATAAATCATACATAAAAATTAAAAAAACAATCAAAGAATAATATTTGAAATTACAAAAAAAATGAAAGTAACATCATTTGTAGCCTTGTAGCTTATAATATCAAAATAAAAGTAAACATTAAATGTCTAGTACAACAACAAAAGCATAAACAACGGGAATCAGTGCCGTATCGGAGGTGTATCCGTGTTCGGTGTATCGAATACAACACGCCTTCATAAATAGGTGTATCGGTGCAACATAGGTCTGCATTTCAAACCCTTTTTATTTATAACTTAAACTCCAAAACATTTGCACATAGAGCAAATATATTTCTCTAGATTGATATTTAAGGTAATAAAGTTTAATTTTTTTCCCTCACCCAATAAAGTGCATAAATTTACCCTTCAATGGAAATCCCTGAAAGATGAATGCATACCTGGGACCGAAGGTTCTCTGTTTTGCCAACTAGGCCATCAATTTTCTCCTGTCGATCGATAACCTGAACAAAATAAAGGAATTCATGAAATTCTCTCTACGAGCATAGCATGAAGGAGCCTGAACAAAATAAAGGAATTCATGAAATTCTCTCTACAAGCATAGCATGAAGGAGCCTGAACAAAATAAAGGAATTCATGAAATTCTCTCTATGAGCATAGCATGAAGGAGACTATCAATTGAAATAGGAGGTAAAGAGTTACCCTCTCAATATTTTCCATCATAATTCCTTTAACTTGTGAAACTTGAGCCTGCACTTTTGAAAGCTTACTGACCTCGTCTGGGTGTTCCATACAATACTGCATATGCTCCTTCAGTTTTGGCCTGAAAAATGTTTTTTTTATTATAAATATTTGAGTAAAAAGACCTCTCACAGCTGAAGGGATGAAAGAAAAAGAAAAAAAGAATACCCGAATTCACGGTTGAGGCTATGGGTAATAGCTGTTGCAGCCTTTCCACCAGGATATTTATGGATAAAGTCTTCCTTGATCCTCTCCAAGAAGCCAAGCGGAATTTGTCTACCAGCTGACTCAACTGCAACAATACAGTAAGCTGCAAAATACAAATTCCATGTTAAGATGCGTATTACCAAAATAAACATACTTTCATGAAAAAAAAAAAAAACAATTGATGCATATACTTTTAGACTGATAGGTGAGGAATGTAAGTTTAATTCATTAACAACTCGCAAAAGAAAATTACTAATGCAACAATTATGATTAATGGTAATTAAGGCTTCGTTTGAGACGGTTTTTTTACTGTTTCTTAAAGCGATTTTTTAGTTACTAGAACGCCGCTTTAAGAAATAGTAAAAAAACACTTTTAGATCTCAAGTATTTCCTATCAATCTTTGGATACACTTTCCAATGAACAGGTCTACCAGAAACCTAAGTAAGCGGTGAAATATCCATAAAGCTAACAGGTAAAAGATTTGTATGACCAAGCACCACAACCAAGTGTAAATAGTTGGCTATCTCTAATGTAGTGTTTCTGATCACGCCGAAGAGTTCGATACCTTTCAACTCCATATCATAATGACTTACTCAAAGAATAGACATAACTAACAATTAGCATTAGTGTAATCACAAGCTAATTGATATATAAGTTCTATTATGATATGCCATAATAAGGAATGAACTACTATATCGTATACCTGAGGACGAAAGGGTACTTAATTGAGGTGGTTTAAATTGATATATAAGTTCTCTTATGATATGCCATAAGAAGAATCATGGCGGATGTATAACATTAAATAAAGAAATGCAATATGGGAGGAGCTATGATTGATTTCACAATAGCCTATGATCTTATAATAGCAGACACATAGTATAAGCAGCGAGAAGAACATTTAATTGCCTAAAAAATTGGAGATATCAAATCAAGCATAATATTTTTAAAATTAAAAATAATTTTGAAAAAAATATAAGTTAATTATAGGTAAGAGTTTGATCATGCAAGATAGAGTAATAGTTATGGATGGATATCTTAAGATTTAAAAGAATAATCAAAAGAAGTAATTAATCTAAAATATGGTGGTTGAATTTGAAAGATTATAAGTTACTAATCTTTCAAGATAGGGTTCTAAGAGAGGCAAGAAGTACTAATTAAACTCAACCATTTGATGGTTAAATTTATTTAACTACGGATGAGGTAAATAGACTCTATTTTTTATATCATTAGTGTAATCACAAGCTAATTGCTAAAACTAACTATTCAATAGAAACAAAAACCAAATAGAACATCCAACAAGGAAGGTATCTAAGCGAGGCAAAAAGTACTGATTAAACTTAGCCATTAGATGGTTAAATTTATTTAACTACGAATGAGGTAAATTGACTCTATTTTTTATATCATTAGTGTAATCACAAGCTAATTGCTAAAGCTAACTATTCAATAGAAATAATTACTATTTTATTGAACACAATCAGTTAAGGAAAGGGACCAATTAGAACATCCAACAAGGAAGCTATCTTCAAGTTAAGGAAAGGAACCAACGAAAACGAAACGGGATCGGGCACTTACTGTATCCATTCTCGACAAGGAAGTTGAAGGTGTGCCCATCGCAGCTGTAAGTGAACTTGTCGTTGGTAGCCGGCAGCCTCTGGAGACACTGCGATGCGATCTCCATGAAGTTGCCCTTGAACTCCGTGTACTCCGCCAGGATCACCGTTCCCCGCGACACAGCGCTATAGATTAGCGTCTTCTGCCTCATCTTCCACCCTTTCGCCAAAACCTAGATTCTTGCAAAATTTCTCAAAGATCAGGGAACCGATTTCTCCAATAAAAGAGAACGGTAAGAGAGAGAGAGAGAATTTTCCTCGCTGCTGGTAGTACAAACAAGAACCGTGGAATGCGTATTATATGATTTCCAGACTTTGAAAAATTGAAACTAACGTCGCTGCTGCCAAAATAGCAAATTGCACTCTTTATTTGTTTCTTTTTACACAACATTTTTGAAAAGAGGATAAAAATAGGAGAAATTATTATGTGCGGAGGTTGAACACATAATATTTTTTAGAGATTAATCATAATGCATCATATCATCAGTATCGAGCAGCAGTACCGAGCATAGGAGTGGCGTGGCGCATTCTGATTGGTTTTCGGTTGACGTTCGGCGTCTGCACAGAATAATTAATCTAAACATAGGGGTGCAAGTGAGGAGTAGATTTATAAATTGAGACTCAGCTTGATAAATGATATAGAAGCTCAGTTCGATGAGCTAATGAGTCAAATTTAGACTAATCATGACCCAACTGATTAACTTACGAGTTAAGAGCCGATTTGTTTAAAAAATATTAATACAAAATATATTCACAATTTATTAAGATTTAGGATTTTATATACGAAGTTTTAAAAAATGTTTAAAAATTATATCTCAGTCTCTTATACTTGTTAAGAACCTCTAATATAAATCTCCATCTCTTGTTCTTGAGTTCAATAAGATGCTGCCACGTGTACCTATCTATTCCTTGTCTATTATAAATAGAGACATAGGCCGGCTGTAAAGAGTAGAAAAGTAATAATAAAATATTCTCTATTAGTTCTTTATCTGGAATTACTGTTCATCTTCTTCCCTGCTTTTCTCTGGTAAGTTTCTACATGGTATCTAGAGTCAGTCGATTGTGAGGACCTTGTCTATGGCGAATCAAGCGCCTGATTCCTCGTCAATCGGAACTGCTTCGGCTGCTACCACCGGACCTCCTCCGGTCATCTCCTCCTCATTGAAATTCGTCATCTCTAACCTCAAGTTCTTGGTGCCCCATGCCCTCACACCGGACAACTTTCCCATATGGAGCTCTCAAATAGCCAAACTCTTCCGAGCCAACGGATTTGCGTCATTTCTTGATCCAAAATCTACATCCGAGAATGTTGATCCAAATCAGGACGTGCGATCTTGGCTAATCACAGATCAAAATCTGGCAACAGCCATGTGCTCGACCATATCACCGTCTGTGCTTCCATATGTGATCAATCTTGATTCAACTCAGGCAATCTGGGAAACCTTACACACCCGGTTTCAATCTTCTAATCGCTCCAAGGTAATTCAACTCAAACACGAGCTCCATAACATCTCGATGCAAACGATGTCTATGACTCAGTACCTTACTGAGATCAAGAAAATCGTCGATCAAATTGCCTCCGCCGGATCGTCTATAGATCCAGAAGATGTGATCATCTTCATCTTAAATGGCCTGCCTCCGTCATACCAATCGTTCACCACCACGATCCGCACAATGCAAGGATCTCTGTCTCTCGACAAAATATACGCTCTCCTCATGAGCGAAGAAATTCATATGAAAACGGCGGCGTTGAAATTTCCCAAAATGCCGGACAACCAAGCTGCTCTGTACTCGGTTCGTGGTCGAGGCAAACGTGGACGCGGACGTCCCCAGTATCCATCGTCACAGGCACCTGCTCAATCTGCCAATGCTGCGGTTGTCTGCCAAATTTGCAAGAAGAAAGGCCACAGTGCTGAAGCATGTTGGCATCGTCTTAATACAAATTACACACCCAGTCTACCTCCGGCCAAGAACCAAAGCGCTCTTACTGCTCATAATGACAACACGACTTCCTCGGATTGGTTCATTGACTCCGGTGCATCTTCTCACATGACCAACAATGCCGACAACCTGGAGTTCTACAGCAACTACACGGGCAGCGAGTTGGTAACTCTTGGGGATGGAAGGACCGTCCCGATTGCTCATACGGGATCGGGTATTCTTCCTACCCCTACCAGTAAGCTGATTCTATCTAAACTCTTACATATTCCCTCCCTCTCCTATAATTTACTATCAATTTCAAATTTGGTTAAAGATAATCATATCTCCATAACTTTTGACGAAAAAGGCTTTGTGTTTAAGGACCTGAAGACAGATCAAATCATCCTTGAAGGACCTTGCAGCAACGGGATGTACAAGATTGTATCTACAGCCACACGTCCGATGGTTACCGCTTTACCAGCTGTTAACACCAAATCGGACAACTGGCATCGTCGACTCGGCCACCCTCATCATCGCGTCTTGGAATCCATTTCTACTACTAATCCCGCTTTACGTATTTTACCTTTTAATTCAACTTGTATTTCTTGTGTCTCTTGTAAAGGCCACAAACTTCCGTTTGAAAGTTCGGCCAGTAGTACTAGCTCTCCTCTTGAACTAATTCATTTCGATGTGTGGGGACCCCCGTCGGTTCCGTCACACCAAGGATTCCGGTACTATGTCAATTTTGTTGATGATTACTCCCGCTATACCTGGTTGTTTCCTATTATGTTTAAATCTGAGGTTACTAACACGTTCATTAACTTTACTAAATTTATTGAACGACAATTGAACTCTAAAATCAAAACTATCAAGACCGACGGTGGAGGTGAGTTCATCAACACCCATTTTCAAACTTTTACCAAAACTACAGGTATTCGCCATCAGTACTCGTGTCCCTATACCCCAGAACAAAATGGGATAGCAGAACAAAAACACAGACACATTATCACAACCACGAGAACTCTCCTACAGACGGCAAGTCTTCCTCATTCGTTTTGGCTTGATGAGGCTGTCACTGCAGTTTATTTAATAAACCGCCTCCCCTCTACTATTACCAAGAACATTTCTCCGCTCCAACGGTTATTTAACATCAAGCCGTCATATGATCACCTTCGTGTGTTCGGATGTCAATGCTTCCCCTTGCTCCCGCCGGGCCATCGCACGAAGCTATCCCCAACATCGCAGCCATGTATCTTTTTGGGATACTCTGAAGTGTCAAAAGGATATAAATGTCTAAATCAGGTATCTAATAAAGTATTTGTGTCACAAAATGTTAAGTTTAACGAATCTCTTTTTCCCTACAAAGACAACTCTTCTAGAGCCACTACACATTCCTCTCCGCTTCCATCTCCGCTGCTTATACCTCCGTCCATCATTCAACCTCCCCACACGGCCGTCAACAACAGTGCTCTGCGAAACCAGATCCCTGTAATCATGTGCTCCAATTCAGAAAACAATCATGAGCAACTAGCTCGCAACACTGTCTCTGATCCATCACAGCATCGCATCGTTAAACATCCAATGAACACCCGATCCAAAACTGGCTCTCTCAAGCCAATACAAAGACTCAACCTGCTTCACCAGAATCAACCTTCAGCCGACCCAACCACCTATACAGAAGCAAGTAAGAAATTTGAATGGCGTCAAGCCATGGCTCAGGAATTCTTCGCTCTTCAACAACAGGGCACCTGGACTCTGGTACCACCGCCATCGACTGGTTCAATCCTTGGGTCAAAATGGACATACAGAACTAAATACAACTCAGATGGGTCGGTAGCTAGATTCAAAGCAAGACTTGTCGCTCAAGGAAATCAACAGGAATATGGCATCAACTACCAAGACACATTCAGTCCGGTCGCCAAACTTCCAACTATATGAATCCTGTTCACTGTTGCCCTGTTTCACAAATGGCAGATTCACCAACTAGATGTAGCCAATGCTTTCTTGCACGGTGATATAAACGAAACCATTTATATGCAATAGCCTAAAGGGTTTGAAGACGCCACACATCCTCGTCATGTCTATAAGCTACAAAAAGCAATCTACGGGCTTCGACAAGCTCCGAGACAATGGTACACTACTTTCACCTCTTATCTCAATCAAATAGGATTTTCTCATAGCCAAGCGGATCCCTCTCTCCTCATTCTGCATCAAGACGATGTTCAGATTTACCTTATTGTATACGTCGACGACATTCTTCTAACGGGCAACAACGAACAAGCCATCAAGATTCTCGTCGATAAACTCACATCCCAATTTTCTATGAAGCAACTAGGGCCGGCACACCACTTTCTGGGCATCAAGATTGATCGAGCTCCAAATAAGTTGTTCCTTTCACAAAGCATGTACGCAAAATCCATACTACAGATGGCCGAGTTACATAAGTGTAACTCGGTCGCTAACCCGTCGTTAACCAAAATTACAGCTATCCCAACTGATGATCCGCCGCTCTTCGATCCTATTATCTACAGGAGGATCATCGGTAGCCTTCAGTACCTCACGTTGACGAGGCCAGATATCGCCTACACTGTCAATACCCTTTCTCAATATATGCACAAACCAGAATCTATACACAACGTGATGCTGAAGAAGCTGCTCCGATACATCCAAGGTTCGACGGACTTCGGGTTACCTATTACTAGATCTGACCTTTCTCTTCGCACATATTCGGACGCGGACTGGGCTTCTGATCCAGTGACTCGCCGCTCTACCTCCGGTTTCTGTACATTTCTCGGTAATACTCTAGTGTCCTGGACCGTAAAGAAACAGAACACCGTCTCCAGGTCATCCACGGAGTCGGAATATAGAGCTCTCGCCGCTGCCACAGCTGAAACTATATGGATCAAACGGCTGATCAATGAGTTTCGTATCTCTCACTCAGCACCAGTAGAAGTCTTCTGTGACAATACGTCGGCAATAGCTCTCGCCAACAATCCCGTCTTCCACGCTCGTACAAAGCATATCAAAATTGATCAACGTTTCATACGTGATCATATCCTGAACAAGGCGATCCGTCTTCTACCCATAAGCACGGTGGATCAGATTGCGGACATCCTTACAAAACCGTTGGCCACACCGAGATTTAAATATTTGAGGAACAAACTGTCTATTATATCTAAGACACAGTTTGAGGGGGAATGTTAAGAACCTCTAATATAAATCTCCATCTCTT